GAGAGAGAGAGAGAGAGAGAGAGAGAGAGAGAGAGAGAGAGAGAGAGAAGTGAATGAGTTCTCCACTCACGCGCCGTGCCTCGCCTGCTACCTCCCAACAGGTATATATAGATAACGAAATGTGTGACCACCCCAGCAGCAACTATGACACCCGTCCATTAATCAGAGCATAGCATCAGCTTTTATTCAAAACTAGGTTAAGTTTATAGTGTTTATTTGCGCAACGTCTCAACTGCTGTATCTCATCCAGGATATTAAATCTTGACGATATTGTTTTCTTAAACTCCGCGCAAATCCACGGTTGCTGCTGCTACAGCTGCTGATGCTACTGCTGCTGCTGCTGCTGCTGCTACTACTACTACTACTACTACTACTACTACTACCGTCTATTCTCGGGGGATAGCTCGATGGATATACCCGTTGCACGGTCCTCAAAAATCAATCTAGAATCGACAGCGGCGTGTGGCGAAGAATGGTGACGTTTGTGTGGAACTAGCTTATATACTGCACAGGCGAATCCGGATTAACTGATTTGGCAGAAAATAAAAACTAGATTTTTTGGCGTGAAATAGCAAGCGATGCTGTTGCGCCCGTTTCACGTGAAAGCGCGTCGCGTCACCTATTCTCAGTACCTGCTGATTTCGATACGCGTTGCGTCACCTGGCCGTCCGGCTTGTCACCGCTATTGTCCCAACGCTCAAGAAGCCGTCATCATTTGTCACCGCTTGTCACCGCTGTTGTTCCAAACGCTATAAGCGTCGCATCAAGACGCGGTCACCGTTTGTCACCGCTTGTCAATTCAATACTGGCATAAGGTGCGACGTGCCATGCGGCGCATCCTGTCGCCACCGTTTGCTGAATACAATAATTCCCTTGACCCCTCTTGAAAATGTCATGTCCTCATGAAAACGTATTTCCAACTAAAAACGATATATCATAACTATGTTCCAATAATACCGCCACCTATATAGCAAAAAAAAACTGGGTACATAATTGTTTAACAGTGATACAAACAAACAGTCAGTCCCACTGCAATCATACCGCCGAAGCCAACGTGTACCTATCCGCCTTATGACAATCCCGGATAGAGTCGTGGGGCGGAATAGTGTCCATAGACAGCAAACATCTGTATATAACTGTGTCCATTTACTACCATATCCGAAAATACTACGCACACCAGATGCATATTAGTTAGATCTCAATCGATGGCATTCGACATTACTGGCGCAATACATGTTCATTGTCGGTGTAGTGGAATGCTAGCTAGCCCTGGGCTTTTCCTCGGTTACTGAATTAAACTTGCAGTCGCGAATTTTCGTACTCACCGATCATCGGTGCAGTTGCGGTATATATATATATATATATATACTCGGGTTGACATTAAGGACGGTTCCTTGTTTCGTTTGGACATTTCACTGCGTTTTTGGTGGAATGAATTTAGGAATTTAGTATGTGAACTACTTTGACTTTTTTTACCAGCACGATTTGATGACGATTCATTAAAGATAATGTTTAATTGGGTGAACGAAAACGTCACGCCGCAAATAATTCGAAGACTCGGTTAAGAGTTCGAGAAAAGTCTATAGAGGTAATTTTTAACCGATGGCAGCCGTTTTGCAACCGCGA